GGGAGTGAGATAACTAGACACAGCGTGATCAATGAAAGTCCAGTGGCATGGGGCTGAGGCCACTGTAGTCAGTATCACTTGCCTCAGAAGGAGACAGTAATGAGAGATGAAGTTCCCCGTGAAATATGATTAAACACTTGTCTGTCGGGAGACAAATGAGTAATCTTGGGTAGGGTTATGCATGCACTGTTGGACAAGATGCAGTGACTTCTACCCGGGATCTGAATAAATTCAGTCCTGAACCTATGGGGATTGTCCAGAGTATTTGAGTGACTGGGAGTAATTGATCAATTGATAGTAGGCAGTTGAGGTAGCAGACTTATCATTGAATATTGTTTTCTTGCTCACTTGAGCCTTCTGCTTCCTAACGCTCATAGTATTCACTCACTCACACATTCACTCATTTACTCTCGGCTTTGTCCCTTGGGTAGACTTAGTTGGGTTTACTAAGCCATAGGGACTTCTCTCTCATTCTCTTTGTTTCTTCATTTTCTCTCTGTACTCCCCCTCAACTGAAGCACTCGGTATGCTTTTTCATCGTTCGGTACCGAGGAGGGTAAAATTGAAAACTCCCCCTCAAATGTTGCATCCTTTGAGAGAATCCTTGCTTTGTCGTTGTGTGGCGCCAGGAGGAGAAAACTGTAACTCCCCCTTAGATTGTGCAAGGTTTGATTGCTCACAGCTTGATATACCTGCCATGTGTATGGAGCAATCTGTACAAGTACCACACATGACGGTTTGCCCTGAACTCATCGTCTAGAAATTCAGCACAGTGGTGATCACGCATTGTTGATGAGTTAAGGGAGGCATCAGTAGTTGATTGTTGATTGTTGTGAAATGACCGTTGACGCGAGGTTGATTGAATTATCTACGAGTTCCGGACCTTACAGTATAGATTAGACCAACTTTGACATTTGGTTTGACTTTGGTTTGATTTTGGAAGAATTGACCAGATTTGCATCAGTTTTGACCTTGACTTTGACTTCAGTGATTTTTCAGAAAACAGATGATATCTCCCTCAAAAGCAGCGAGTGAGGGATCGTGAGAAGGGGTTCTGGGGTTCCCCCGGAATTCATGTAGATCTTTTCAAGAGCTTTCCGAAAAGGTAAGATACGCGTAAATCGGATCACCGAGTCAAAAGTTATGGCCAAAACAGTGCACGACATCGAAAAGTTTGAATTTTTAACTTTGAAAAACTTTTCGAAGTTGGGGTTCTCGAGGTTGAGTTTCTCGATGTTGGACCTCGAAAACCTGTTCTCGATGTTGAATATCGAAAACCTTTTCTCGATATTGAATGTCGAAAACCTTTTCTCGATATTGAATGTCGAAAACCTTTTCTCGATGACTGAATATCGAAAACTTTTTCTCGATGTTGAATGTCGAAAACTTCTTCTCGATGATTGAATATCGAAAACGTCTTCTCGATGTTGAATATCGAAAAATTTCTTTTCGATATTGAATGTCGAGAAACGTGTTTTCGAGGTTCAAACTGCGAGAAACGTGTTTTCGAACTTCAATCCGCGAGAAACCTGTTTTCGAGATCCAATCCGCGAGAAACCTGTTTTCGAGATCCAATCCGCGAGAACCTGTTTTCGACCTTCTACCTGCGAGAAACGTGTTTTCGAGGATTAACTTCGAGAAAGTCAAGACTTCGAAATCGTTAGAATTTCTAATCAGTTTAGAACATCGAATACTTAGATATTTCTAAAACCTCAGAATATCGAAAACTTTAACTTTGAAAACTTTCAGAACTTCGAAAACTTCTTTAAACTTCGAAAACTGAGAATATCGAAAATCCTTTTAAACTTCGAGAAGCTGAGAATATAAAAATTCTTTTAAACTATCGAGAAGCTAGGAATATCGAAAACTCTTTGTAAGCTTCGAAAAGTTCTGAATAGGGAAAAATATCAAGTTTCGAAAAATTCTGAGATTCAAGAAAACCCAAAGTTCGAAAGATTCTAAACATCGAGAAACTCCAAAACTTCGAAATCTTCATATCGAAAACTTCCAGCTTTGAAAATCTGCAAATGTGAAATCAAAAATTTCTTTACAAATGAAATTGCAGGTTGTTGTCAAACGGATTTCGATCCTAATCTTCCAGAAATCGCTGAAAAAACATTGAAAACAGATCATCAAACCAAAATATCGAAAACTCAGTTTTTCAAAAAGGTAAGGTCTTTCTCGATAAAGGCAGATCCGAAAAACGCAGATGAATCCAATCTATTTCACGCCTCGGCTCTGATACCAGTTGTTTGTCCCTATTTCATTCAACAATCATATAGAACAGAGAAGAGAGGAGAACATCTTGTATTCAATACCAAAAAAGGATTTCGAACTTCTGAACAGGGTATCGAGAAACAAGTTATCGGCTCTCTCTCTCTCACTACAATGATATGCGCTCTGAATAATCTGTAAAGCCTCTCTCGCACATTCCCTTAAAGGCAATATTTATATGCCTAGGGAATGTGTGATGTGACCTAAGCATGATTGGGCTCTTATTGATTGAGCCCAATAACACACTTTACACATTTCCTAATAAAGCTAGTCTAATAATAGCTAACAAAGATTCCAATGGGCTAAAATATCTAGACAAAATAGCTACACAAATACAAAGATATTTAACCAGATTGGACACCATAAAATATTCCTAACACACCTTACCAGCTTTGATCCTTCCATTATCACAAAAAGAGTAATGTCTATTGATCATTTCAGTTTGCCCACCAATCACTTTGAACAAATCATCCCGAATCTTGATCAATCTGGTGAAAAAAGGGGATACCCCGGCTTTTGGTATCCAGTACCAAATAGAAGTACCCCTCAAATAAATAGTATGGACCCATTTCACCCAAAGAGTGTCTTTTTTCATATGGATATTCCAAAGTGTCTTGGAAAGCATGGCAGAATTCCACACCTTGCAATCTCTTAAGCCCAACCCTCCCTCCTCTTTAGGTCTACACACATCAACCCACACAACTTTGGCATTTGGTCCTCCCCACAGGAATTGCCTACAATGGCTAGTAATTTTTCTCAAGAATAGTAACAGGAATGGGAAATACCTGGATCCAGTAGGATTGGACTCCTTGGATAACCGCTCTAATTAATTCTAGTCGACCAACGTAGCTAATTAAGGTTTTTGGTCATCCATTTCATTGTGAATTGTTCAATCTTTTCCACCAGGGGAGAATATTGAGCAATTGATATTCTTAGAGGGATGACTAGAGGCACTCCCAAATACCTAACTGGAAAAATCCCACCTGGAAATCTGACCAAATCCATAATTGCTTCTTTTTCAGTCCCTACAACTCCACCAAGAAAGATGTTAGACTTGTTGATATTAATTGATAACCCAGTTACCTCTTGGAACACATTCATACAATTCAAGATGACTTTGATAGAACGAAGATCTCCCCTGGAGTAGAGCATCAGGTCGTCGGCGAATATGAGATGAGAGATCTTCATAGTGCCACACCTAGGATGATAGTTGAAATCGGGTCTGGAAGATTCTAAGTGCAGTATCCTTGAAAGATATTCCATGCAAAGCAAGAAGAGAGTAGGAGACATGGGACCCCCCATATCTGAGACCTCTCTTTCCTTTAATAAATCCATACAGACCACCATTCACTGATATAGAAAAGGAAGTTGTACTGACACACTCCTAGACCCAATTAACAAAACGAGTAGGAAAGCCCAATGCAAGAAGAACGTCGTTCAGAAAGCCCCAACTTATAGTATCATACGCTTTCCTAAGATCCACCTTAATTAGGCATCTTTGGGATATATACTTCCTGGTATAACCCCTAACCAACTCTTGAGCCACAAATATATTATCTGTAATCCCTCTACCCTCCACAAACGCACTCTGGGCAGGGTCAATAATCTCAGATAGCATGGGGTTCATTCTGCCAGCAAGAATCTTTGAGATAGTCATATACAAGACATTGGTACAAGAAATAGGTCTAAAGTCACCCGCTGCTTGACTGCCCCATTAACATTAATAAAAGTGTTACAGTATTTCTCCTACACCGGAAAGATATAAAACAATAAAATACAATATTCCCTCTGTCCCTTAAAACTTTGTCATAATTCTTTTTTAGGACATCCCAAAAAACTTTGTCACTTTCCTTTTTACTTACTCTGTTCTTAAATAAATGCAACGGTCAACATTTCACATTTGTCGAGACACAGCTTTGACCATTAATATATATAATTCTCTATTAATAAAAAATAAAAATAAAAACTAGATTATGAAAATTTATAATGAGACAAATTTAACAATATTGTTTTCAAAAATGTATATTAAGACATTAATAAATAAAACGTAGTCAAAATAGAACATGTGAATAGTGTAAAATTCAACACGTTGCATTTATTTAAGAACGGAGGTAGTAATCAATTATTTTGTGGTTCCTGTTATTTCTCTCTGCCCTGCACAAACCTCAACACACATTTTTTACTTTATTATTCTTCGTGCCGGTCAAACTTGACAAAGTTTGAAGGGACGAAGCTAGTAATATTTTGGACTCCTCCTCCTACATTGTTGACATTTTAGGATGGAACCACATGCCTTAATATGGTATCAGATTCAAGTCTAGTTGTGGTTGAATTGTTTGTTTAGCACCCATGGTTGAAGGATAGCTTGTTAAGGGTTTGTTTGATGCATTTATTCACCCTGATATTGTCCAGCCCTTTCGGGTTGAATGGGCAGTTTTCTTCACTTCAAATTCCTCTTTTAAAATAATAAAACAGTATCAGGTTGACCTTTTTAATTATATACTACCTCCGTCCCAAAAAGAGTTGCAAATTTGACTTTTCTTAATCAAACAGTCTCATTTTATTCACTTAATTAGGATGTCAATTTCTAATTATATTCTAATTTGGAGTTTACAACTTTGAAAAGATTTTAATATAGTTTTTGAATATGTAAATTTTAATTATTAAAAATTGAATTAATTGTCGCTAGGGAGGATTGACTTTTATTATTGATTGACAAAAAAATGTTGACTTTGCAAAACAAATTGAGACTGAGGGAGTATTTTAGTTTTTTACTGAAGCTTGACTAATTATCGCCTTGATCAGCCATTTATTTAAGCTAGACTAGATACATGGAATTAGCTCATCAATCATTAGTTGATGTGTACATATATATCATTATTAGTTGGGCGGCAGAGATGCAACAGCAGCTTTATCAATCAGACAGTAGAATTGGGGGTCATCAGAACATGAAGCATGAAGTTTAGCATCACACAACGGTTCGCAATGTCCTTGCAACTCAGCAGGGTCATCCAAGTTCCCGTATTTCCCGTTATTTTTGGCAAAACACTCTTCCATACAGTGACAATATGCTGCCTTGGGGCATTCCCTTGATAATGATGATTCGCAAACGTAAACCATATTTATCAATACCATCACCGTCATCATCATCATCATCCCCATATTATTATCATTATTATTGCTCCCCCCTACCTTCTTGTAGGTTATGGCCCTGCGGTACTCGTAACAGAAAGTTATCAACAAAGTAGTATAATCGATCAAGAGAGAATAGTTACACAAAATGCAATTAAGAGAGTACGTAGTACGTAGTTTTGATTAAAATAGATTTCTTGTAGAGAAATGCAAACTTCATTTCGGAACATCTTAAAAATGGAAGTGCAAACTTTAATTCTTCGAAACGGATGAAGCTAGCTAGTATTTCGATGTCAAATAATTGAATAACAAAATGCATGTACGTACACTTCGTATTTAACAATAACTTAGTTTTAAATATGTACATATATTAATATATATCCATTAATAAATTTTGAATCATTTCAGTAAATATATATACGAATTATATTCTATATCGTTCATTTGAGATATTTTTAATGGTATTCTAGAATACTTTATACGTCCGTAGGTTCTAAATTTAATGGTACACTAAAATACTTTATCCGTTCGTAGGTTTTAAATCTAATTGTCCTAAATAGGAATAAAAACGTTTTGAAATTCTAAAATAGGAGTATCACGTTTTTTATTTCCTGAATAGGAGTAATCTGCCAAGTTTGAAAAAAAACACCATGTTAAAAGCCTTGTAATGCCAAACTTGGCAGAAATTTACTTCTATTAAAAGAATAAAAAGCATGATACTCATATTTTGGAATTTCAACTCCTATTTAGGAATTATGTCAAATACTACATACTAACTCTAACCTTACATGGTATATAAGAACGAGTATCTGGTCTAAAACTAGGCCAAAGCAGAGTACCGATTTTGTATAATGTTCCGTGCTCCTATTGGCTATAGCTACTTCAAATGTGCCTATATATATACGCACAAATACACAAATCGGTGTATCCGATATCCATTCTCATTTATTATAAGTTGCCATCACATTCATAACATTCATAACATATACATCATGACATATAAAGTTAATAAATTTAATTCAATAACGGATATAAGGTGCATGCCATCACATTCATAGCATTTCTTGTGATATTTAATTTATTTTTTTGAACGTTATTAGTTATTATGGTTTGCATATTAGTATATTATACCGTAACTCAATGGCGTGGACTCAGAAGTTTTGTAAAGCGGGGCATGACTGGTGCATACATGGAAATGAGTCCGTCGGGTTGGGGCTGAGTGCACCGCTAGTCTATTTTGCATGTATAGGTTGCTCAAGTTATTATTTTTATCCGGAAATATATAAATTATTCAATGCCAACTTCAAGCCATGGATATTTGTAAACTATAGATTTAGTTTTGAACCCATTAACAAAGCCATTTAATTAATTTGACGGCCTTGGTTCCGAATGTAAAATCTAGGCCCCACATTATCATAAAAAATAAAAAAATCTCAATCTGAATATGTATACCCAAATCAATTGAATACTGTACTTATTAAATAATGTTATGACTATGTGAGTACTGTGACATCTGATTCTTTGGGTAAATCAGATTGAGTGGTAGATTCTGGTTGTACTTTTCATATGTCCCCTTTGAAAAATGTTTTTTCAAACTATAGAGAGATTGAGCATGGTTTTGTGTCTTTGGCAAATGAGAAGAAATGCAATGTGCTAGGAATATGTGATGTATGTCTTAGGTTTTCTTCTGTTTTTGTGCTTACTTTGAAGAATGTTATGCATGTTCCTAAGATAATGTGCTATAATTTATTACTATCTTGTACTTCTCTTGAAAATGATGATTTGAAGGGAAATTGTGGAAAGAGATTCATTAAAGTTGTGAAGGGTTGTTTAATTGTATTTAAAGCTGAGATGAAAAACAACTTGTATGTTTGTTGTTCTTGATTCTGTGAATGATGTGCAACCTTGTACTATGTGCCAGGAAAATAATCTAGAGTAAATTTTCTGATCTGCCTAGTGTGTTGATGGGCTTGATTGTGTTGATGCTAATTTATGGGATCCTTGTCGTGTTTCCACTCATGCCTAGAAGGTGTGGGTTTTGTTGATTGAGAATAAATCTGATTTATGTTACATTTTTGATAAGTTTAAAAACTGGAAAACCCTTCTTGAAAATCAAACTGGTAAGAAAATAACTTTTTAAGGACCAATTTTAGTTATGATTTTTGTGATGATCAGCTTCGTGATTTATGTGATACTTGAGGTATTTCTTTGCACAAAATCTAATTCAATTCCTCCCCACCCCAACAAGATGAGGTTGCTGAAAGGATGGTTAGAACTCTTTTAGAGAGAGTGAGATCTATGTTAGCTTCATCTGAGCTCTCTAAATGATATAGGGGAAAGCTATTTGTTATGCTTTAGGAGGGAAATGTCATGAATCTCTGTGTTCACGGGCGAATCAGTTGACTTGCAAAACTTGAGAGTGTTTGTGTTAGACCCTAGATTTTGATGAACTGTTTTGATGATGCCAAAAGCTGTTGTTTCCCCCCCTCTATTGTAGCATTGTTATAGGTTTAGAGAATGTAGCAGTCTTTGTTATCCTCTGTTGTAGCATCTTGCAGTTGACTAGTACTCAGAAAATTATCTAGATGTGTCTTGCTCCTGATTATATAGTTAACAAATAAATATGACTGGAAAACCATAAAATGCAATGAGGCAATATTGTATTGCCTTAAAAGGATATCAAGTAAATCCAACCAGTTAAATTTATTTGTTACACAAAAACATTTCGTACAAATAAACTATCTATTTTAACTGAAAAACAAAATGCAATGAGGTAATTTTACCTTAATAGGAGTTGATATCCTACCAGTTAAATATCTAGCTTATCATGTTCGAAATGCTAGATAAACCATACACTCAGAAGCATATTCTTGATATTCTGTTCACTACAAAAATAACAATGTAAATTCTATATAACAAATAAAACGCACTGGGATTCAAAATGAAATAAGGTAAAGTTGTCTTTATCTTAAAATAGATATTTAAATCCAACCAGTAAAGTGTTATTTGATATATAGATAAATCAAAGTGAACAAGAATATTGGTTAACTAACTGGAAAACAAAATACAATAGGGTAATAATTTTTACCTTAAAAGAATTTGTTATCCTACCAGTTAAGTTACACGAGATACCTGCTAAGCGGTACAAAAGTTAAAAGTGACAAAAACACCAATGTAAAAACTATGTACCAAATCAAACATACTGGAATCATAAAATGCAATGAGGTAAATTCCTTTTTACCTTACATGGATATTTAGATCCAACCAGTATAGCTTTCATATGGTACATAAGTTTAAATCATGTCACGTTAGAAAGAGAAAGTGATTAGTAAAATAAGTGACAAATTTTATTGTAAAATTTGTACCAAATAAATTGTACTGGAAAGAACAAAATGCAATAAGGTAATTTTACCTTAATAGGATATTTAAAAGATCCTACCAGCACAAACTTTATTTGGTACAAAATATTCTAAGTCACATTTTACTACTTCACTACACAAATTGAGTAGGTTCACGCACTTAGCTTCACAAGTATAAATTGCAAGACAATGCCAAAAGACATCAGAATAGGTGAACAGTGAGGACCATCAGAATAGGCATGCAGCGATAAGAAGGCCTAAGGTATGGGTGTTATCTTCGTACAAAGCAAGTGGCCTTCAAAGACAAAATCCTTATCCTGCTCCAACACAAGAAGACGCAAGTACAATACTTTGGACGTCAAGGATTAAATCCTCTTAACCAACGGAGGAGATTAATCTACTGGAGATGCCTATAAAAATAGGCAGAAGCATGAGATCAAAGTAAGTCACTGAGTTCAAAGCAAGAGATTCAGTTATTACACTACGAATATCCAGCAAAAAGAAAGTGCCTGAATACTCTGCTTTGACTCATGCTTCACTAAGCTCTTAGACTAGATCATTCATTGTAACATTCATAGAGCTTAGATTTTAGTTGACGGTCAGAAACTTCGTGAATCATTTCATGTTGTTGTAAACACTTAGGAGAATAGTTGTTCAGATCCTAAGGTGTGGTTAGATAGATACAGTACCTTTTGATCCCCACTGGATCACTTGAGAAAAGTCTAAAGGACTGAGTAACTTTGAGTGGTGTTATACTCATCGTGAAAAACCTTCAATCTAGGCCAGAGTTGTCAAGGCTAGATTGGCACTAAGTGTATTGGGCTGAATACTTTAGTGGAAATCCATTTGAAATAGGATGGGACTGGATGTAGGAGGATTACACCACCTCTGAACCAGGATACATCGTGTGTTGATTTACTTTCATACATACAAAACACACACTAAACACATCTCACTAAAGGTTTGTAGTTTGCCAGCAGCATCCTAAGCAGTAGTCTTCATCGACTCTACTGCTTAGCCTACTGCTTAATAACTCACTCTCCTTGAGACTGTTTTTCACAAGAAGTTGTCTAAAACTCAGAAGGTGCCTCGGCAGTACCCTGATCTTTACCCTCCTACAGAGCCCACTGCCCATCCATACGTGTCAATCCAAACTCCATAACAAGCCAGAACAAAAAGCTCATCCACGAGTCATCCTGTTTTCTCAGCAGTTGTCCCAACAGTCCCCTGCCCTCCAGCCAACTGCCAACCCAGCAGTTGCCTCAACAGTGGTCTGTCCATCAGCCAACTGCCAAGCCTACTGCCAGTCCAAACATCATCAATAATAGAAAGTTTTCTTGCAACAATCATCTAAAAGTTAGAGACTTCCGCTGTGCATGTATTAATCTCCTAAAAGATTATAGATCAACTCATCTAGAGGGAAAAGGTTTTTAAAGTTGCAAAAAGTTTTTAAAAGTCTATTCACCCCCCCCTCTAGACTTTTACCTCTATCCGGGACCATCAGTTTGGTTGTGCTGCTTATGTGAATCAAGAGAATGATGAATCTCCAAACTTTGTTTTCCCATCTACTCTGAGCGTTTGTCCGATTTCCTAGATAATATGATCATCAAAGAAAATACTATAGCTTCTTGTGTCTATGGCACAAAGATCTAGCTAAATATTCAAGACCTTGGAAAATTCTTAGGTGTTCCCTTCTGAGAGAATGTCCCTATGCTAAAAAGGACTGGCCCCTGTCAACTGTTTCCCAAACTGAAGCCTTAAAGTTTTTTGATCCATCCATCTCCGGTCTTACATACTCTTCAAGTCAGTAGTCTCATTACAAAGCAAGTGCACATAGACCGCACATAGACCATTTTTTTTTGCGATGGCAGCATAACTGTCGTTAAAAACACCATTAACCACACATTTTTTTATTTACCACATACAAAACTGTGGTAAAAAGTCATAGACGACAGTTTTTAACTGTGGCCAATGTTTTTACCACGGCTGTTGTGGCGACGCACATAAAACTGACGCAAAACTGTCGTAAATGTCCCTCCTTATGCTTTTACGGCAGTTTTGCGACAGTTTTACGTCCGTCGGCTCAACAGCTGTGGTAAAAACATTGGATACGGTTAAAAATTGTCATCTCTGACCTTTTACCACAGTTTTTGTATGTGGTAAATAAAAAAATGTGTAATTAATAGTGTTTTAATGACAGTTATGCTTCTTCCATCGCAAAAATAAAATTGGTTTATGTGCAGTCTATGTGCACTTTTCTTGTAGTGTCTATACCCAATTGAAAAGTTGTTGTTTTACTTCGTACACTCCTATCTTGTCCCGCGTCTAGAAGGAAGACAAAGTCCATCTCGATTGAAGATTGCATACATGTACTTTATTGCTACAAAACCCCAATCAACTTTTGGGACTTATGACTGTTCATCTTGACTTTACCAGAAGTGAATCATCTAGGAAAGTTAGAATTCCTTTTGCCTATATATTCTAACTCACCTGTTTCTATA